GGATGGCAAGCCTCAGATAAAGAATGTTTCCAAGCAAATACAACTCAGGCAAACAAAGTCACTAATCTAATCTCAAAATCATAGATTTTGTATATTGGTATCCTCCTTCTTATTTTCTTGGAAGAACACACAAGGAGGATTAGAGAGGGGAAGTAAACATATGTTAGACTTTAACTAGAGATAATTAATTGTATGGATTACTGTACTAAACAGTAACGAAAGTTAAGCAGTAACCAAAGTTAACCAATGATGGAGGATAACTAAAAATGTATATAAATACAAGACTATACTCCAATAAAGATCATGATGATTCAGTTGTTCATGATCAAACAACTCGACTGCCTCGTCATTACAACAATTTTTAATATTAAATTTATATTTAATATAAAAATAAAAAAAATTATATTAAATATTTTTTTAAAAAAAATCATATTAGTGGTCCTTGGGATTTAAAAGTATGAGTTTGGTGGTCCCCGAGGTCCAAAAGGTTGGCGACCCCTGTTCTAGGCTCTCTACTTGTTGCTTCTTCTTTTTATTTTCTTTTGCCATGTATGCTATAGCCATGGCACTCTTATATGCTTTTGTGGTGTCCCATAGATTTTGTATATTGGTATCCTCCTTCTTATTTTCTTGGAAGAACACACATAGTTGTTCTTCCATCCTCAATTTGAATTCTTTGTGATTTAGGATCAATCTTTTTAGAGTCCATCTGCCTCTCTTTTTCTTCCCCTTCCATATAGTCAAGATCAGAGGTGGCTAGAGTATAGGTGAGCATGAGCAGGGATTGCTGGTCCAGAAAATGGAAGTAACTGACACACATTCCTTGTGCAATGGTCTTCCAGGCCACAACTGCCATCTGCTCCATGAGCAGGAAAACCCCCAGATTACACATCAGATCAATCTGAGGCAGTGTCACCTCACCCAAGACCAAAGATGGCAATTCTATACAGACCAAAGAACCACCATTTTGTCTTCCCAAGGTTCAGTTTCAGTCTGTTGCTCTGCATCTAGCCCTTAACAGCAGTGGTGGGCTGCAATTTTTTTAACAACTGGTTCTCTGGCTGGTTAGACGTGGCCAGTTGGTCATGTGACTAAGTAGGTGATGTCACTCATCACACCCAGCCCCACCTCCCAGCCACTTGCCTCAAAGGCAGAGGTAGGATTCAGCCAGTTGGGGCTAATCCCACCACTGGCTGGCCCCGCTCCTGCCCGCTTTTTGGCTTGTTTTTGGCCATTTTCAGGCTGGTTTTGGAGCCATTTCCAGGCTGTTTTTGGACCATTTTCAAGTCATTATCAGGCTGTTTTCAGGATGTTTTGGGGGTGTTTTTTGGCTATTTTCTGGGACATTTCTCAGCTATTTTCCAGGCCATTTCTTGGGCCGTTTTAAGGCCATTTTTGGGCCATTTTCAGGGTATTTTGGGGCCAGTTTTCAGGCCATTTTCAGGATGTTTTTGGAGGCCCAAAATGGCTTGAAAATGGCCCAAAAATGGTCTGAAAATAGCCTAAAAACAGCCTGCCTTCAGGTGCTCTGGAAAATAAATCAATTCTCTTATCACTGTGACTGCCCCTCAAGTACTGGAAAACTGACATCATGTTATCTCTAATCTTTCTCTTCATTAGGCTAGACGTACCTCGGTCCTGCAATTCAGTTCAAACCTTTTATCATTTCTTGTGATCTTGATGTCATTTCTCTGTTGATGCAGCCTAAGATTGCATTGACTTTTTTGCAGCTTCAGTACACTATTGGCTCATACTAGGACACCTAGATCTCTATCACAGTTATTATTGTTAAGTCACTTTGGTCTAGTAGTCAAGACACCCGACTAAAAAGCAAAAGACCATGAATTCAAGTCCTGCCTTAGCCATGAAAACCAACTGAATCATTTTGGTCCAGGCACTCTCTCTCTTTCTTAGTCCAACTCACCTCACAGGGTTGTTGTTATGGGGAAAATAGAAGGAGAAAGGTGTTTTGGATATGTTTGCTGCCTTATGAAAATAATAAAGGTGGTATATAAATAAATAAATAAAACTGGTAATTTTTTTCCTTTGATCATCAGCCATTCAATTGTGTCCAACTCTTGTCTACTCCACTGATCACACTCTCCATGCCCCTTAGTCTCACACTTCTTCTTTCAGTTCTGCCTATGTCATTCTTTACAGTATCTAGCCAACAGTTAATAGGGAAGCCTCTTTTCCTTTTTCCGCTGATCACTCCCAGTATTTTGCCCCTTTTGTTTATTCATTTACACGCACACACAAAACTCAAGGTGGATCTGATGATTAGAAAAGGCAAATATAATAAATGAATTATGATGCAACCTTAGAGGAAGGATAGGCAATAAATTTATTTTAACTACTATAAAGATTTAAAAGCCAATCCCTTCTAGATTTTTTCTTTTTTTTCTTTCCTCTATTTACCTTTTACTTATTCATTTACACTTTATTTTTATTTTTTTCTTCTCCTTAAATTCATAGTGTATTTGTTTTTATTATTGCATAAAATACCTTATTAAAATTATTTTAATTATTTTAAGGAGATGGCAGATGTTATCTCAGAACGATTATTATTATATCTTTCAAAAATCCTGGAGCACCAGGGAAGTACCAGAGGATTGGAAAAGAACTGATGGGGTTTCCCATCTTCAAAAAAGGAAAGAAGGAAACTACAGCCTGGCATCAATACCTGGGAAGATACTGGAAAATAATAATCAAAAAACAGATCTGCAAACATCTAGAAACAAATAAAGTTATCATTCGAAGTCAGCACAGGTTTGTTAAAAATAGATCATGCCAAACCAAAATTTATTTCATTCTTTGACAAAGTGACTAAATTACTAGACCAGCGAAATTCTGTGGACATAGTATACTTAAGACTTCAGCAATGCAACCAACAAAGTAGACCACAACCTACTTTTTGATAAAGTAGAAAAATGTGGGATAGACAGCATCACCACCAGATGGATTTTTAACTGGCTGACAAACTGTACTCAACAAGTGGTCCTTATGGGAAAGGAAGTAGTGTGGTACCACAAGGCTCCGTCTTAGGCCAAGTACCATTCAGTATCTTCATAAATGACTTAGATGAAGGAATAGAAGGGGAACTCATCAAATTTTCAGAAGACACTAAGCTGGCAGGAATAACCAATACCCCAGAAGGCAAGTTCAGAAATCAAAAGGATCTTGACAGACTTGAGCAATGGGCCATATCCAAAAACATAAAATTTAATGTGGTGAAAAGCAAGGTCTTATACCTAAGCAGGAGAAACAAAAGGTTCAAGTACAGATTAGGTGAAACCTGACTCAAAAAACAGTAACTATAAGAGAGGCCTTCATGTCTTAGTGGATAATCATTTAAATATGAGCAGTGTGTGAAAGCCACCAAAAAAGTTAATATAACCCTTGGTTGTATAAACAGAGGCATAGAAAATATTAGTACCACTTTACAAATCATTAGTAAGACCACCCCTGGAATACTGCATCTAGTTTTGGTCACCACATTACAAAACAAGAGATTGATTCCATTCCAGCTATATTCTAATTGACTGATTTAAGTCTGGAGCTGAATTCTCATCCTGATCAATACTACAGGATGATAAGACGGCAAATGGGAATTCAATAAGTAGATTCACCCAAATTACTATGTGATTTTAATTTCGGCTTCACATGTTAAAGCATTATGATTTGTAAAGTACAGCATATTACTTACGACCATCTGTATTCAGTCTCCAAAATATGCTTCAGCAAGCATGGCAAAATAAGTAGAGCTTTCTTGTCCCAAAACAAGACTTTCAGGCAGGGTCCTCAATAACTACCTCTCAAGGTACAATAGCGGAAGGGCAAAGGGGAGAAGGGAAAGGTCACACAGTCACATAAGGGTTTCTGTACTGTGCCTCTCCTGTCCTTTCCAATATGTGGCCATACAAACATACATACCGGTACATATAGCTCTTGCAACCCTTCTCCCCAGAAGAATCCATCCCTTGTGGCCATCTCATTCTTTCCCAAGCAGAAACCTCTCCTCTCCCCCCCACCCATCACCAGAAAAGCACTATCAGAAAGCAAAAAAACAGAAAAATCATCAGATAATACAAGAGTTTCTTTTTCACCACATCCTCTGGCCTCGACTGACTGACTGACTTTATTTTATTTTTATTATTTATTTAATTGTTGAACATCTATCAATAACACTGTATTCCCAGATGATCCAAATGAGAGGCGAAGAGGCTGTTGATGGTGCAGCTGCTGTGGCAGTAGCACCTCAAAAATGGCTGAGAAAGAGGTGCTCAGTCCCCACTTGTAGCTTATCCATTGCTGCCTCTTTCCTTTTGTACCACTAGACCTTGACAACTCCTGTGGAGATGCAACACCCCCCCTACACACAACAAAGTTTTTGGAGGCTCTCCAAAGTAGGAGCTCAGAGTCTCTTTACCTATGGATCCCATAGTGTCTATATCTCTCCCATTTGTATAACCAGTGTATTTCTTGTAAAAATATAACCTCAAACGTGGAGATAAGTATAACGCTCTATTCATAACTCGATAACCCATGATTAATTCTAGTTTGTTGTTTATCCCAGTTTCCTGATTTTGTACAACATAAACTAGCAACAGACTGGTTAGTACAATGCAATAAATGAAACAAACAAAATGTTTAAAAGTTATGATATTTGTGTAGTTACTTACCAAGAACCTCTAAATTACATTAAAGTAACCAAAATATCTTTACGGTCCCCAAGGCATCACAACTTTTGAGCACTTCTAATCTTTGGAAATTGAAAGCTGATAGATTTGAAATGCCCTAACATAGGCTACTGACTACCTTTAGGGTGTGGTCAGTCTTCTGAAGCAAGAGAACTGGGATAATATATTAGATCCTTGGGATAATATATTAGATTTTAATTAACCTATGTTATAGTTAAGCCTACGTTATGCTTAAATCTATGCTTCTGCATCACATAACACAGCAGCTAAATTTATAATTTTCGTCTTCCGCAGCCCCACCTAGGCAAAGGCCGAGTTACACCTTCTTTTTATGGTCAATGCTTTCCGAAAGATGTTCAACTGCCCAGGCGCCACATCTCCCCCTGGCCGCACTCCGATTTATCCAGCCGCCGCTTCGGGTGTCTTGCTGATGTTTCTTCTGAGGAAAAGGCCGTTGCCCCGAAGGAAGGAGAGCCGGCGAGTTTGCGAGCTGCGGCGAAGCTCGCGGCCTTTGCGTCATCAACTGTCATTTGTTCAGAACGAGAGCTTGAGTTTTCCGCCTGCAGAAGCGCTACGAGAGTTCCGCGGAGGGGGGCGCGGGGGGCGAGCTCGGTGTCTGGCTGAAGACGCGTTGTAATCTGTTAGCCTTAATCCAAAAGACTAGTATCTTTACTTAGGATCAGTTAAAATCCTAAGAAAATAGTCGACTGAGTCCGAAGCCTTTATTGGAGCGTACCGTAAACACACAAAAGAAAATTAAAATTGTTAGAGTGTGGAGGATGTTGGACAATATCTCACCAGCATCTCTTTTCCTAATTGCTTTCTTTCCATATCTTTTTCATTAAGTCTGATTCCTATCAGAAGCATTGAAAATCCGTTTTACATTATCTTTATCCCCCAGAAAATATGAGTGCAAATTGCTACCAATCATCAAATTCTCCTAATTCCCTAAATACCGGAAAGACTCAATAATAAGAATAAGAATAATAAAGAGTTCTCTTTTCATTTGATTTATTTTGGATCAGGTTATTTACAACAAGTCGATTGTTTTAACATGGTTGCCTGCAGGAAACCAGGATTTAATTTACCTTCTAGTGGAGCCCAAATTCAGCAAAATCAATCTGGTGGTAGAATCGGAAAGATCATATTGGAAAATTATGTATTCTGTCAAATTACCTATACATAGGTGGATTTTATTTGAAGAACTGCCTATCTCCCTTAGCTTCTTTCCACCAGTAAGATCAAGCAGAGTTGACATGTTTGGGTTTCCTTTAATCAAACAATACCATCAATGGAGAGCTAGGAAGCATGTCTTCTCTGTTTTGGCACTTGCCATCTCGCATCCCCTCTGCCCATGTCGTTCTAGTAGTCTACAGAAACGTGGCTCTTCTCCCAGGCTGCAAAGTTGGATGCTTGAGAAACATCATTGGTTATGTTTTCTGTTACAGGGAATAAGTTTGTACGTGTGGGGATTTTTTCCCTCTTTATAATGGATAAGCTGCCTGGTGTCATTGTGGAATCAGTGGACTTCTGAATCTGATAAAGCAATTTCATTGTATATATGTACAATGACAATAAAGATTATTAAATAAATAAAACTAGAAATAAAACAATGATAAACAGCTCGAACAATAAATGGAACAACCAAGGCCAACCATTACATATTCGATTCATACCTAGACAGCCTGATGCCATGTTCCCTCTCAGCAGTTGGACAGGTCCCCAACATTTTAGCCTTCTGGAAGACCATAAAGACCTGGTTCTTCACCCAGGCACTAGGGTAGAGTGATGAGAGTCTGTAGATCATGGATGTCCAACTTTTTGGCTTGCCTGGGCTGCCTTAAATGAAGAGGAATTATCTTGGGTGACATATAAAATATATAAAAAGGATAACTAATATGAATTGCATTATCCTCATCATTTTAGCCATTGTCTATCCACTGAAGGATGAAAGCCAACCAATATTGTCCTGAGCTTTCTTTTGCCAACTGGGCCTGCAATACTTGCTGATGTCATCGATCCATCATGTTTTAGGTCTCTTTCATGGACACTTTTTATGAAGTTGGATCCATTCTATGACTGCCTTGATCCATCTGTCATCATTTCTTCTTGCTATGTGACTTTTCCATGTTCATTTCAATTCTTTGACTCTCTCAATGATAAAGAAAATTTAACAGTGTGTTCAATTTGGTTGGCAGGCATTTGGCAAGCTAATTTTCAAGAAAAACCTCCCCGTATGCCTGAAGAGAAAAGTTTTCAATCAGTATGTGCTACCTGCTCTAACATATGCTGGTGAAACATGGACACTAAATTCACAATCAATACAAAAACTATGAGCAGTGCAAAGAGCCATAAAAAGATACATTTGGCATTTTAATACAAGATAGAAAGACCTGCACATGGATTAAAGAACAAGCAAAATATATCATATCATGAATTGCATAATAATGTTAAATGTTTATGATATTGTGTGGCTGCATTACTTGCCAAGGCTTGTGGGCTACATTGGACATGTCTGCTGTAGATGATTGTTGGGGTATTCTAAGGGGATGAATGAGGCACTTGCTTTTAGTTTTCATTTTTTATGGTTTTCTGATTTTGTAATTGTATTGTTGTTGTGAGCTGCCCATAGAGGTGCTTCCAAGATGGTTAGTCTTACAAATCTCTTAAATGATAAACACCTGGAGAGAAGAACCAAGTTTTCAGGATCCTATAGAAAACTAGGAGGATCAGATTATCTGAATCTCAGAAGAAATATCATTCCATAGAGCAGGTGCTGAAACAATGAAGGTACGTGTTCTGGAAGGTGCCAGATTACATTGTTTCATAAAAGTGATCAGAGTATTATACTTGGCCAGATCTCATGGGACAAGCAGAGATAATTTGAGATTGGAAATCCTACAAATAATTCAACCCTGTGTCATGAAAGGCTTTATAGATGATAACCAGCAACACGAAGGGCACCTGGGCCCATGAAATACTCATATTAATGTGATTCACTGAAGCGTACCTATAAGTATTTGCACTACTGCATTCTGGATCAATCTCCCTTACAGTTGGACATTAGAAGCCAGACCAAGGAAAGTGAGTAACATATAAAATTATTTTATTTTTTGAAAAGTTGTCTGTTTAAGTTTTTTTTTTCTTTGCATATATTCTCAATTTTTAAAAATTTCATTTCATCAACTGTAATTTTCTCCAGCATGGAGCTGCATGATTATGAAGAGCTCCATCGGATAAAGTTTTACCTTGTTGTACAGTTATTAAAGCATAGATGTACAGAAATGTTTAAATCATTCATACAGTTGTTATAGAGTTAGCTCATTGCAAATAGATTTGTCAAGTCTCCCTAATACAATTATTCTCCTGTGCAATAATCTTATATGCAGCTTTCTAAAGTACAAAATGCCATGTCAAGGAAAGCAACTCTTACATGTCTTTCACATATCAAACCTCTTTAAGGCGAAAAATGTCAGCTCTATTTACAGTGTAAAGACCCTTCAGGGATTAGCTGATTTCTGTTAACATTGGCTAGAATAAATACATATACCAAAAGACTACATTTGAAATTTTTTCACTGCAGTTTTGAAGAGCTTTTCCTAAAGGTGTCAGCAAGGTATAAATATTAATGTGATAAAAATATGAAATATGTGAGGATATTTATTAGTTATTTGATTATATAAAATATAATGAAATGAAAATGAAATTTGTTTTACATTTGTGCTTGAACTCTAAGATTTTAATCTTAAAATCATAGAATCATAGAGTTGGAAGGGACCTATGAGGTAATCATCTAATCCCCTATATACTTCAGAATTCCCTACATTATTCCTGCTATATTACTGTCTCATCTCCATCTGAAAACCTCCAGTGAAGAGGAAAAAATCACTCTATGGAGTAATCTGTTCTACTGATTGACAGCTGTCAATAAAAGAATGTCTAATCTATATGAACATCCTTGAGTTTCCATGCCATTCATCTTAATTTTACTCCCTGGAGAAAGCAAAAATAAGTCTGAATCTTCTACAATGTGACAATCTTTTAGATATTTGGAGAGCTGTCATGTGCCTTCTCAATCTTTTCTTCTGCAAGCAGAAGGTAAAGGCTATTTAAGGAGATGGGAAATGCTCTGTAGAAATTTAGCAGTAAGAAGAATTTCTGACAATGTTAGCATACTGCAGAGAATCCTATATTTATTTTATTTGTACTCATTAGGATGTTACCTATTCACAAAACTCTAAGAATTATCTTATATTTAATTTATATTCAAATAATAACACTTGGTGAATATTTACTTGATTTATTTCAAAGGAGAACACTTGCTAGGGAATTCTAGGAGTTGAAGTTGCCAAATTTGAAATACACTTGTCTGGATCATTAAGAAATAGAACTGAATAAGAATGAATGTTAGAAGATTCTATATTGGGTTTCTATTGGTCCAGGTTATAAAAGATGTAATCCCAGACATCACAAGGATACCATGTTGTTGATCCTCCTATTTTCCAAAACAGATTTATTATAAAATTATGTGTAAGTAGGGGTGTCAAACTCAAGGCCCATGGGCCAGATTTGGCCTACGGGGTGCTTAGATCTGGCCTGTGGGAATGAGGTGCTTCTGCCAGAAAAAACAGAGCTTGGGCGGCCCTCCAAGCCGTTGCAGCTGAAAATGGAGTACAGGAGCCCGTTTTCGCTGGCAGAGTACTCAGCCACTACAGGCGCCCCTCACACGAGTGATATCAAGCTGGGCATGCCCACCCTGGCCACATCCACCCCCCCACTGAGGTCAAATGCAACCTTGATGCGGACCTCAATGAAATCGAGTTTGACACCCCTGGTGTAAAAAAAAACACCAAATATTTGATTAACACAATTTTACAGTAGTGAATTAAATATTATGAGAATATATGAAAAGATTTTAGGGGAACTACTACTTAAATTAAAATTTAAAATTTGATAATCCAATCTGGAATAAAAATGAGAAGTATAGGCCACTGTTAAAGCTGCCTGTTTGATTGATGAGTCAGTAGTATTTCAAAGGATACATATTTCAGATCAATCTGTATCACACAAATCAGTTTAGTGGCATGTATCCCTCTAGCAATGCTAGGCTGAAAGAAAGAGAGGCCCCTTATTCAATGGAATATCACTTGATCAAATACAATGTCAGGAAGTTCTAATCTCTGCAGTATCCAAAAGAGAAATGGCCAGATGTACAGAGCTGGACAAAGTGATTTTCCTGCACTTTACCACGTTTCTTTAGGCTCCTCCTCCTTGCCTCATTGAATACAGGTTCAGGCTGCTTCAGTGGCAACACAGTGCAGAACTGAGAAAGAGGCTTGGTGATGAGAACCTGCCAACAAACGGCAAGCGGCCCACTTAAGCCCAGTGCAAGGAAAGTGTGAGAATGAGCCCTAAAATCAGGAATGTCAAGATGATGGGCACTTGTCAGGCGGGACTCAAAGTTGCTTAAATCATAGTGTGGGAACTAAATAAAGATATCTGTAGTTACATAGCAATTCTAACATTTAGGATTGGCTCTTTTTAAATGTCAAACTGCAAATAGAATGTGTACAGTAACATTTTAAAAAAATTCAATGATCAGTTATCTCTAACTCCGGAGTAGTAAATCACCCGCCTTGTAAAAAAAATTCTTTGAAAAAAAGTGAAAGGAGAAGATTGAATTTGTCGAATTTGCCACTTGGTTTTTCCTTTGTTAGACCAAGCATTTCGTTTCCTTTTTTTTTACCAGCTCCCACAGCAGCCGAGTACCTGACTGAGCTCACAAATCGAGACTCGGGTTATCAAATTTCCTAGCACTCTTAATTGAAAAGCCTGCCAACGTAGGTGAAAGACCTTATACATATGTAAAGCAGGAAGTTCAAATTACATCGCCTGTGGAATCTTAATGATTGACAGCTGTTTTTGAAGAAGGACTCTTTGCAGCTAGGGCAAGACTTTGTGGGAGTCCCTTGCCCTTCCGATGATAAGGGAAGTTCGAACGTCCATTATACTTCGGATTCTGATTTCTTTGGGCTTTCTGCCCTCTCGCAGAGGCCACCAGAAGGGCGTGTTCGTGTATTGGGGGGGGGGGGGGGGAGGAACACAGTGGGAGGATCCAAAAGAACTCGGCGCCACAGCCATTTTGTTTGTGGGCAGCATGGTCGAATTCTGTCAGTCAGTATGAGGAGGGGTTTTTAAATAGTCTTTGTGGAAGAATGATGCCTTTACAAAGGATGTTTCTGTTGAAATGAATATCCTTAAGTCTCTATGACGGTAGGTATAGGACAACGATTGGCGAGGGGGGGGAAAGAAAAAAAAACCATTCTCAATATCAACTCTTTGATTTTGTTTCAAACCCACCAGATTGTGGCGTATGTTATTCCGAAGTATTTGTGGGTTCGCTTTATATTCCACCAGGCGCTTAGGCAACGTAATGGAGAACGGAAAAAGATTAATGAAAGCGTCTCTTAGTTGAACATAATAGGTAAATAAACCTTTAGGATGGGAAGAGAAAAACACCCAAATCTCCATATGGAAATTGGGAGGCTGTGGTGGGCGGATGCGCGCGTTTTTCTATCCTTACCCCCTCTCTCCCCCAAGTATTTCCCCACTCCCGCCCATCAAGGACAGTTGATCATGTGAAGGAGACTTAGAGAAGGTTTTGAGCTCTTGTTCGGTACAATCGCCCAAATATAAAGCCTTGGCATTTGGTGGTTGGTTGTGTTGGGGTGTGTTTTAAAAGACTGTATAAAATGGCACACTGCATTTCTGCATTTTTTTCCAGGCTGCAGAAGAGGGGGGCGGGGGATAGTGCAGACTGTGTAGGGACACTGCCCTCCTAACCAATCAGAACACGCTTGTTTGCCATTACAAAGTTGTTAACCCCAGAGTCTTCTGGCTCCTGCTGCCTTTGCTTTTAATCTTTGGATATTTCTCAGGTTTACTCGAATCCTCCCCACCTCGCCAGATATGGAGAAAAAACCTTCGGAAGCGGCTGCCGACCATGGGAAGGAGATTCTATTTTCATTTGCAAAGATTTTTAAAGATGTTGGATAATTCTTTCGCTGCCTGGAGCTGGTTGATTGCAAGTGAGAAACTATACACAGACTGCTTCGTTCCAGTCGGGAAAAGGCAGCTGGCTGCTTCCTTTCGAGGTAAGTTTTCTAATCCTTCTCACACATACGCACAAATATACACAAACATGCATAAAAGACGTCGAAATATTTCTTACGTATATGAATCAAATGTAGATTTGGTGGGGTTTTTTCTTTTAAAAAATGAAAGTATTTAATTATTATGACAAACGTTGGTTCATTATTTTGACCATTAGGAACAATTGTGTTACTGTCTTTATGGGGAATAAATTAGACCCCTGTACTTGAGTCGTTGATGGAACTGCCAACAACAGAGATCTTTTCAAGGTGGAGTTGGAGTCTCCAGGGAGGATAATTGTGTCCGGAGCACAACACACATTTTTACAAAAGAGGAACTAAGTACATTGCTAAAGAAATGTGCTTCAGTTTATTTGAGTTTGAGATTAGTTGGGAAAAGACGCCTTAAATTGGCTTGTTGAAAACTGCCCTTCATATAATGGAGGAGATTGCTACAGCAGGATTTACATTAAGTTATGTCTGTTACTAAACATTGGCCTTTTTATTCACCAATTGGCTCTTTTTTTGTAATTTGCTTTAAAACCTTTCTATAAAAATATGAATGATGGTACTGCATTAAAGTGTCCTGCTCTTTTGAGAAGATTCATTTATGAGACATTTTGTAATTTTGGGCATTTTTCTGGTGTTTTTTTTTCATTTGTATACAGTGGGAAATCTGTTTTGTATTGATCTGTGTTGGTGGCGCTGTGGTGCTCCTAAACAATTTATGTTTGTTTCACCAAGAAAAGAGGGGGGCAGAGAAAGGTGGGGCAAGATTTGATCTATTGTATCATAATTTCTTTTTTTCTTCTAACAAACCCAGCTTTAAATATTAATACAAGCGTTATAGTTTGGACCATGTATAATATATGCAATAATCGATATACTTGGAAGTTCGGTGTACAGCATAACAGACATGTCGTCACAGTCCTTTGTTGTTCTGTGAGACTAGAGGCAGGGTTTGGATTTTTGTTACTTAATTTTAAAAAATCTGAGGTATGTGAACTAATTCATTATTTAGTCATAGTTTTATCCTTTCTTAACAAAGATTTTCTAGTAGCTAAAACCAATTTCTCATTCTCTGTAGAAAGTGACTGTTTTTATTGTTCATTATCAGACTTGGCAGAGTCTTAAACCCTTTCTTTTTTGTTTAAAAAAGTAAACAAAAACATACCAAATAACAGTTTGGGATTGGCTTTATAAAAAACATTGTGTGTATTTTTAAAATGTTCTGTAGATAGTGTATGTTTTAATTAAGAGTAGAAATAAAGCTGAAAAAGACAAATATTATATACATTTTAAAATTAAGTAGTTTTTCATCTATTTTGAGTACAATACATATAAACCATATATACATGTTTAGATACATATATTAAGAATCAAATACCTCTTTCATGCAAACATTTGTTAATTTACACAGTCTAAACAAAAAGATATAAAAAAGCTGAAAAAATATATACATGAAGTAAAAGGATTTAAATTATATAATTTGAAATGATCACAATATCTGAGAAAATGCAACAGGTTAATAAATTTATTGAAGTATAGGGAAGGAAGGAATTTTTTTTCTTTTTAATTTCTTATTGTAGTTAATGTGAAGTTCTTTGAATAATTTATATGAGTTTTATAGAAGACACTTTTAAATAGAAGATGTGTATATAGAAAAATCCTAGCTGACATTAAACATGCCCTTTCAAAATAGTTCTTTCTTGAAACTGAAGCAATATTTATGATTAAAGGTACCTTGTAGAATGTATTGTGTTTCAGAGTCAGTTAAATCACATTATTCTTAGTTAAAACGTATAACTAAATTGTAACATAAGAATTTATATCGTTCTGTTACCTATTTAGCTTATTAAATCTATATAAGTATATGAATAACAATTATTTCTATTAAATAGAATATGCTTTCATTGATTATGGTCTCACTATATAATAACAATGGCTCTTTGAAAAGACCAATCATGGATGTTCTCTTACAGATCTAGGAATGCAACTCATGCAGCTTCCATCTCAATAAAATGTGGCAGTGCAGCATATGATTGCACCATACAGTGAACAGCTACCTTAATATATGGGTGTGCAGCCTCTATAGCAATTGCGGGAAGAAAAGGTGTTTAAATGTTTGGCTTTGGAAAATCAGTTGTTATCCAGGTTGAGGTAGAGACTTCTATTTACTCACCATCCTGTATGCATCCTGACACAAAAGATTGCATTCAGACATACAGTGCAAAAGGTAGAATTTTGCTTTGTGTTAAACCTATCACCACATACTTTTTAAATCTTCAGAGAATCCAGAACAATATACGAGAAAGATACATTTACTTGTAGATTGTTTTTTATGTTTTTAAATCACGAGGTAGTTTTAAGAGGTTTACTAACAGTTAATTCCTTAAAAATTATTAGCTCTTCAGATTGTAAAACATTTGGAATTGAGTCTTTTTAATGACTCTAGACAAGTACTGACTAGTAAGATGAAACAGCTTAATGTGGAATATGTTCATACATATGAATTCATATATAAATGAATTAAATCACATCTTAAGCTATTTCATTAAACTACAATTAACAGACCCTTGACTGATATAGTACTAACATTCTTTTTTTCAATGGAATAGTAGAAAAGCTATATTTACTAGCAAATACAACTGAATAAATACTTTGTCCAGTTTATTACTTCATAAATAAATCCTTGAGTTACTCTCTTGCATTGTTTTACATCATGTTAGGCTGAATTATATGATGTAGAGATAACTGATATGACAGCTACACTTGTGATGATAAAAAATGAAGAGGGGAAATTATTAAACTGACTCTGGATGGATAGTGGTGTAAGTTTGATAGGATGATGAATGAACAGATCAGAAAAAGTACTTAACACGGACAATTCTAATGTATAATTGTGGGTGTTTTTTTCAAAGAAAGATATGAATAAAATGGCATAATATAAATCAATTTGCAAAACTAAATAGTGAAATTACTGGAAAGTGAAAAACTATTGAAAAGGATTAGAAACTTAAAAAGCATTAAAAACTAGCTAACATAAAAATAAGAAAAGTGGTCTTTAAAAAGTTGTGTTAAACAATACTTCAAGGCAGTGTTTCTCAATCTGTGGCATGCAGACCTCTAGGAGGCCATGATGTCATCACGGGGCCCACAAAAACTTGAAGAAATGTTACAGTTTAAATATTGAGTTAATTCTTGGGAGTCTGTGGCCATGGTCCCTGACCACAAAAGGTATTTAAAGGGAAGTCTGTGCTGAAGAAAGGGGTTAAGAACCATTGGTTTAAAGTTTAAGTTATATATTCTAAAGATGGCAGGAAAAAAAATCCAGAAAGTAAAAGTTCTAGTTGGGCAGAATTTAATTTAAACTTTAGGTTTCCATAGTCCACATTTCATAACATTTTGGAATCAAGGTTTAGCTTTCCTTCTGAATAACCCACAAATAAATTTACACATGTCTGAAATTCCAGAACAGAATTTGTAATTTAAAAATATTTGACAATTTTATCTTGCTGCATTAATATTTTCACAGCAGGATCTAGACAGATTACAGTTTTTGAATTTTTAGTATGGTGAAATTCTAATTACCTTTGCTACTGTTCTTGAAGATACTTTTTTCTGAATAATGGTCAATGTTCATTTTCTGAACTGAATTGATAGAAGCCTTAATTATACTTGTATTGGAAAAATGAACAACTGATGCTGAAAAGGTGCCATTTTGTATTTGCTGTGAGACGTAGCATAATAAATAACAAAAAGTAGGTTATCCTAAATTGTCATTTCAAAATGACTAGTTATAGATATTTCAGTTTTGGGCAGAATGAAGGAAAATATCTACAAATGGATCCATCTAGCCATATCTCCTTCTGCATTATAATTAGAGAGTCAAAATGGCATTTCTGCCACTGAATTCTCATTTTGACTAATATTTTGGGTGATTTAAAACCAATAACTCATAATGCAGGTGATAAATTGTAGCCCTTTGTGTATTCAACTCATAGTTATAATTCTATTTTCATTATTAACTGAATCAAAAGCACCTGTTAGTGTAATTTTATATTTTCTCAGAAGATAGTTACATTGCATTCTACTTCCAAATAAGTATTTATGAAACAGTGGCTTCAGGTTCTCCATGCTGTTCAAAAGGAAATCTCTTGCCCCTTTTTGTACAGAGATGAGTAGAAAGATTAAAAAGGCTCTTATATACATATTTCCACTGAACTTATCTTTCTATTGTTCAATCGTGAAGAACATTTTAGTTCCTATCATTTTAATAATATGGGATCAGTCTATGACTATAATAAAACTCTAAATTACATTGTGGGGTTCAAAATGGTTATAGATGTAGTAGAGATACCTGAAGGAGCCTGTTTTGCTTGTTTTCTTATCTAAATATGTGTGAATTTGAGTGATAAACTCTGGTACATCTTATCTGAGTTATCAAATACTTTATGAGATGTTATACTAATTGGATCATTGTTTCAAAAATATAAAATTCTATTTTCAACAGTGGAATGTGAAAATGTGTATCTAAGAATCTCAACTTTTAGTCTCTTATATTGTTATGGAAAACAAAAAAAACTGCTAAGAAAAATATTGTTCAAATATTGTATGCCTATGCCAGTGGTTATCAAACATTTTGGTTTCAGACTCCCTTTACATTCTTAAAAGTGATTGACTCCAAATATCTGGTTTATGTGTGCTATATCTTTCAATATTTACTGTACAATATTAGAAATTAAAACTGAGAATTTAAAAAATATTTATTTGACTTTGCAAACCCCTGAAAGGATCTGGGGGATCTCCAGGTGTTCCCAGACTTCACTTTAAGAACTGCTGATCTTTGATATGTACTTTTCCCAGGTCTCTGCTTTTTTTTGTTTTTTTGTTTTTTGTTTTGCTTTATGTTGCATTGTATTCTCATTACTACTATTCTAGTTGGTCACCATCTTCTAAATCAGGGCCACGCAATTTTCCCAACATGCGACCTGAGAAATTAG